CCTGCCCCCCCCCCCATTTTCCACCCCGTCCACCACGAAAACAGAGACAATTACGTATCGGGAGATCGAGTCGTAGAGGAAAGTGTGGTGGCGTCGACGATCTCGCCCCGCGTCATTACGCTCCAATTCATTTCGTTCAGTCTGTGGTTGGCATAGTGGTGGTGTGTGGGGGGATGAAGGGAGCTTCCGAACAATTGACGAACGCCTCGAAATATTTACACACTCGAAGTCTATTCATCCCCCAGGAATTAAGCCGCGGCCCGTGAAAGAAGTAAGGGAGCAGAATTGAGTCAGCTTCCGCGGGCTGTGAACTAACCCGCTTCTTTCCTTCGTGGAAGTTGGTATGGTTTTTAGGGCTTTCGTTTTTTCTTTTCTGGAATAGCTTGATATCGGATTTAGGTCGGAGGAGCCTCCGGGGCTTTGTAGATTTTAAGTGAGTTATAATTAGACCGTGAACTTTATGCGATTATATTATGTAGCGTACAGTTTTGAGCGTGTCTGGAACTTGGTGTTACCGAAGAGAGTTTTAACCTTTCAGCGACGGCAGGAATTGGGCTATAAAAGCGTCTGCCTCCGCTGTTCGGTGGCCCGAGTATTCGCTTTTTTTCGAGGATAATGTATACTTATTATTATTGATCGTTATGGTGATATGGAATGTTGGAACTTGAAGATTGTCGCTATAATAACACACAAGATTTTCATTTCATTTGGAATCGAAAGAAACCCTTAACTGACTACTACTTGAAATATTCAAATTAAAATTAATTTGACTTCGTTAACAATTCTCATTGTTACATTTATAAATGATCTATTCACAGTAAATCTTCGGTTAACGTTCGAAGCTCGGTTCCATTGTGAAACAGTTATCGCAGAGGGACACGATTTCTTCATAAATTCTGTCACTCCATGAATTACATTTTCATCCGAGCCTCCAGTGTGTAACCTCCCAGTAGCGGGGATAAAGCAGAAGCATTGAGCATAGAGATCCCTCCGCGCAGTTATCGAGACTTCACACTATACAACTGTTTTACTGAAACACGGGGATACCTACGCGAGAAGCTTCAAACCCGCGGTCGTTAAAGACTTAAGAAGACTTGCACGTTTAAAAAAAAAGGTACCTTGTACAGTGTACGTTAGGTTACATCTAATCCTGTGTTAACCAACTTTCAGAATGTTTTCCCTTGTTGGTACACGCAAACTGCAATCGACGCTCGAATAGTGGCCGCGTAACCCGGGCAATAGCTTCGTGGATCGAGGAGCCAACCCCTCGTATCGATATTCGTTTAATGTAGGTCAGACGCGGGAGACACAGGGTTTATCCTTTGTCAAGGATAAACGAAACCGTAGAAAGACCTGCAGTCACCGCGCGAAACGGAACGAAAGTTTCTCCGGTGAAACTTTCTTCCGGACAGCCTAACGTACACACGCCCGTAGTCTGTAAGTCTGCTGGCTGGACTGGTGCAAAAGGAAAAAAAGAAACAAAAGAGAAGGAACGAAGTAGTCTTCGAAGTTTGTCGCACGCGAGTCGGCCGCGCGAAATGCAATTTCATCGTGTAACTTTTGGCTCCGGTGATTGATAGGCACTGAAGTTTGCCAACAAGGGGGGGGGGTGGAATGTTCGAAGAGCCGATTCCTCGCGTCAGAACGCGATGGAAAACGGGAACGCGATTTGGAATGCAACTTCAAGGACACCGGTGTTAAAAGTAGAGGCGCCTTTACAGTCGATTACATAGATTGACCGCATTTACCTCTGCGCTTCGAATAGATTGAAACGTTAACCCTTTTTGCGGTCGGGAAAGGTTAAAGCGACTCTGCGAGGGTGTAATCGAGGGAGCCATCCGTTCGACTGGCGACAAATAAAAATCAAACGACGATTCTACTTTTTGTTGTCGACGTTTCGTACCGTAATGATCCATTGTCAAAGAATCTTTTGGATTAGAAATATTTTATTGTTGAAGGAACGTTTTTTTTTTTTTTTTTAGTAATTCCCTGCTATAACGAGTATTGTATAAGGAACAAGACGATACAAAGGCTTGCAATAAGTATTCAGAAGTCTGTTCCGAGACGAAACGTTATAATGGTATCGTTTGAAGAACCACAGATCTTATCAGCGGATGTATTAGTCCACTAGAAACCGAGAACATAGACGACAATGGAAATGAATATTTTTATGATTCTGTACTTTTCGAGTGACGACCCTGGCGAATGTGGAACAGGATACCGTAACCAATCGATCGCATGAATGAATCACAATGTTTACGGTGTTCTTGGTACAGTCGTAACGTTGAGAACACATCCGGACCGATCGATCTTAAAGGGAGAACGCTGTTTACTGAGAATTTCACAGGCGGACCTTAAGTATCGCGTTACATCACGTTTCTGTATCATGTACATTCGCTGAAACTGCTCGCCACTTCATTACCTTCGTTATTTTCTCGGAAGATTAATTTAATATTAAACGTTGACCCTCATTGGTAATTTTAGTCGAAGCTTCCCATTGCATTGTTCTTCGAAAGGCAAAAAATTCCTCGTGAAAAGGAATCCACGAGGAACTGATTACGTCTACAATTTTTATCGTGATTAATTCTTACAATTGTTTGAGGACCCGGAATTAAAATAACCATCCAAGTGTAGGAGAAATACAGTATTGTAATTTCAGTGACAATTATATTTTCAAACGGTCACAACAAGTTTATAAGATCATTTCGCAAACTGACGTAAACGCGATACTAAAAAGCGACTCGGAGTGTATGATTGCTTCAATTGTAAATTTTTCGGTATTATACAGCGTGTTTCCGAAATGGTGGAACAGCCCGTAAGAATGTGAAGATATTTTTACATGTTATTTGATGCGTACTTTCGATCAATATAAATTTACACTGAAACAAAATGTATCCCAGAGGAAAAGTATACCCCGAAGCTTTGCTTCCAAGATAATCGATGTTCAAAATTCATCCGACGAATATGTACCTATTCATAGTGACAATAAGTAGAAACAGAATTCAATGAACAGACACAATTACCCAATTCCTATTCGATTTCTCGAAAAACGAAGCATCGTACGAAAAAATGTTATTCCACATTTTCGACTTATTTTTTCATATAAAAACATATTCCTTCGAGTCATACCATCATTTCGGAATCACTCTGTATACGTACATTATTCGGTGGGGAACTGATGACCTTATTCCTCAGCCACTGCACGAGTAAGTCGGCTTTACCGATTCATTTGTTTGTTGTACTCACTAGCTCGAATCACGTTCATCAGTTAGGACCTTTAGCGAGTCGAGTCGTTATCGGACACCACAATTTCCGAAGCACGATCCCAAACTCTAAACAATACGTGGACACGTCGAAGACGTCGTTGCTCTTATCGTGAACCAGCCTATAAATCGATCCCATCGAGTCAGTCTCCGATATCGGATCCAGGAACCGTCAGGTGATTGAATAGATTCGCTGGGTGAAAAAGAATTGGCGGGGGCCTAGCGACTGAGATAGGTCGATGATCCTGTTCTTTATGGGGTTGCCAGGATATAAGTTCCGTGGCCGGGACAGACGGCGCCAGCCGCCTGTCTCCTCGCCATTAGGGAAGCCTACATTCTGTCCAACACACATAGACGTATATACGATTTTTCTGCCCCACGTGGGGAAACTACCATCCCCCCGTACACATACACAGGGGAGCTTTAACGTACTGGCGGCACGTGACTGCACGCGCGCTGGACAGACACACATGGATCTCCGCGCATTAAGCTGTTTTTCAAAACCTCCCCCTCCTCCGATCGGGGCTACGTCCTTGAACGGCCGATGCTCCCGTTAGCCCGGGGTGCGCCCCAGATTTCCATCGATGGAATTGTTTATTTTTAGGTTTCCCGCGATATCGAGGGGGTTGGTCACGCCGTCAGCGACTATGTCCTCTGTGGAACGTACCACTGCCCGATGGGACAACGATATAATAGTACAGGGGTAGGGAGATGGGGTTGCATACAGTGGGGCATAAAAGTATTCGTACACCCTTGAAAACGGAACAATTTTTTTTAAAATGCTCCAAATGACTTTAGTTCTTTTGTGAAGTTAGAAACATTAGTTTACTAAATGATGTGTAAAAAGAAGTTGAAAAAATTCCGAATCGCGAAGAAAATAGTAAAGGTTGCTTTTTATAATTTTTTTATTTGAGACTGTAAGGAGAATTTAATAAATACATATCGAAGATTTGTGTTAGTTATGTACATGTTACTTTCTGGCCGATGCTCGATATATTGATTTGAAAATGGAAGCGTGCACAGGCAGGGTAGTTGGGATACTTGGATTCTGTCTGAAAAATGTCTGTTAAGATATTGAGTAGAAGTTAATTGAAACGGAGTAGTTAGGGATGGTAGATGGGGCTATTAAAACAGAAGTCCTTTAATAAATAGTTATATTAAAATAATAGCTATATTAAAATAATAGCTGTAGATAAAAAACTGTCGATCAGACTCCACCATATGTCTGAATATTCGTGGGACGGATGTACGATAATCGCGAAGTTGTCCTTGATCCCTTTCCGGGGTTTTACGATCCCGTGAAAGTCGATATCCCCCGGACCCGTGTCGTACACCTAAGAATGTTGTTTACGACTTCCTCGAGGCGCCGTAATTCACCGATGCTCCCGAATGTACGGACGTATCCTCCCGAAATCGATTTTTCGTGATGGCGGAACACGTAATAGCGAGGACACCGTTCGAATTTCGCGCCCCTAGAGTATTGTGTTCTGTGTGCGATTCGTCGATTTGAAATTTCGCGTAGAAAAACACTGAAGGAAATCAATAAGAGAAAATGGGAGGCTTGAATATTTAAAAGACGGTTCTGAGCAGATTTTCCTAAGACCGTTTTAAAACGTCAGACGAGAAAGGGACGAAGTTGGTGTGATATCGAGAACGTAGGGGATAGCCTTGAATGTATTTGCTCCTAATTAGGGTAAATCGTTGGACCTTGAATGAACAGAGAATTTCTTGTTTCAGCTGAATGAGGCTCATGGAACCCTTGGGTGTTGCCCAGGACGTGGTGGAGACGGGCGCGTTGAAACGATGGTCCGACTTCCCCGTCCAACATAGGTTCACAGACTACTCGAACTCGATCGGAGAACCGTCGCATCACACCATCAGCCCATTTCCATGCAGGCCGGCGCTCAACAACAAGCTTGCGCTATGGTAAAGTTATAATGGCCATATAAATAACTGAACTTAATCGTTAAATGGGTATGTATTTTATTCGTGGTTCCGAGTTTCATAACGACGCTATCCGTTTCAGGACTGGAGACATTTCGATTTTGCAAGTGGACGCGGTGGTGAACCCAACCAGCGAAACCATGGACGACAACAGTCCTATGTGCCAAAGAATATTTGCTCGGGCTGGTTCGCCGCTTAAGATGGAGATATTTAATGAAGTGAAAGGTATAAAGAACTGCTGCTTTCTTCTTCTTTTTTTTAAACATAGCTTATAAGGTTCGTGTAAATTAATTGGCGAACGTTTGATGAATATTAAAGTAAGAGACAAGTGTTAATTGGATTTTATAAATCTCCCCTTTATTCTGCTTTACAGATGCTTTGAACTTTATGTGTCGTACCTACACGTATACGTGGAATATGTAATGCGTTCTTAAAATATTGTATTAAGTAAAGAATATGATTTTTAGAGTGCAAAACTGGCGAAGTGAGAGTAACACAGGGACACGGATTACCGGCACGTTTTATTATCCACACCGTTGGACCAGTATACAATGTGAAGTACCAGACGGCAGCTCAAAATACACTGCACTGTTGCTACAGGTGAACCGTTCGTTGAAAAGTATGTAAGTCGTGTCACGAAAGGTCTAACATAAAATTCTTCGTTGTCATAGAAATGTCTTGCAAAAAGCTAGGGAGCTTGGATTACGTACGATCGCGTTGCCGGTAATTAATTCGGTGCGAAGAAATTATCCTCCTGACGCGGGAGCGCACATTGCCCTAAGTAAGTTAATATTATTCTAGATTTACGTAACGAAATTAATTAATACCGACTAATCAATATTTATATACGTGTTGTCCACGCCAACAGGAACGATAAGAAGATTTCTGGAGCAGTACGGTGATTCCGTTACGTGCGTTGTGTTCGTCCTGGAGCCATGCGATCTTGGTATCTACGAGGTCCTTCTTCCACTCTATTTCCCAAGAAACTTAGCAGAGCAAGACAACGCCTGTTGGCAGTTACCGAACGACATCGGTGGCATGGACGGAGAACCCCTGCTTCCTGATCGACAAATCAGAATTATCGACAATCCTCAACACGCTTTACATGGTAGTAATAGAAATTGCAATTGACAAGTATCTATTCGTTTTAATTAAAACGTAACGATATAAAACACGTCTGAACTTTCACGATGTCCTTGGTTACAGGGGACGAGAGCGTAGAATTATCTGCGCAACTAGAAACATCCGTGAACATCGGTGAACACGCGTTTGCACAGATGCAGGGCGATTTGGATCGACAGAGACTTCTGGGTGAGAGGCCACCTGCCGATCCTCTCGCGGACATCATGCTGAAGCAAATGCAACAAAAAGAAAGGTATCGTTTTTTAACATAGTTTTTGGAAAAATTCAATGTTAATCTTGAAACAAATTAGACGTCGTCTAACAGCCTGATAAACTGTACTTGATCGTCACGATCGATTATTTATTTATTCAGATATGGCTTTCCGTATATATTTGCCCAAGGTAACTGGTATTTTGTAAAGTACACAAAATTTCATTCATATGATGGCATCGGTGCCATTTGGTACGAGATCAATGTTTTTGCGCGTCACATCGGCTATTTCTGACTATTCAAACAGAAACAGCGTTATTTCTGTCGGCCAACGTGTCCACTGGGATTTATGCATCGTTTCTGTAGCGAAGGACACCGCATATTAATATTTCTTGATAGATATAACGTGTATCTCAAGTGGGAAAAGAAATCGAGTTTATTTAAAGATTTCCAGTGATTTTATGGCCGACCGAATGTCCTCCGTTTTCCATGACATTTCCGTTCTTCGGCTTCCTCGCTGTCCCTCTCGCTTTGTCCCGAGCGTTCATTTACCGGCAATTTTCTGCAATTTTCCATTTACCGATCCAAGATTTCTTCTATACCAACGTTCGCTGCGGGAACATGTTTCGTTCGGCTAGTTCTGCCATTGATAAAGCCGGTCTTATAATGGTAAGCGTGAATCGTCGAATATTACAGATTACTACAATCGTACTATGCGCACACTCGCGTGTATCACGCTCGTAGGCGCTCGATTAATCAGTTACGCTACGTATGTGCACATGCTTATCAATATGATCGAGGAGTTTTCGCACGCGAGATGCATAATTTCTACTTTAGCAAACACGAATCGTTTATTTCATTAATCTTTTAAACCCTTTCTATGTAATATTATTAAAAAACTATAATTCCGCTTTTGTTAAAGTTAAATTACGAGATTCAATTATTCTCATTCGTTGCGATTATCTTGGAAAGCGCATTATAAATTAAAATCAGCTCGAGTGTTTGTTTCATTAATATTGTTACATCGTTTATGAAGGTGAAATTTAAGTAATTTCTTTATTCCAATTGAATTTCAATTATGAATTCAGTTATGAAGTGTGTGATCGTTATTTGGATAAATTATTCTATTGTTCACGAAGACCGACTGCTTTAAGAACTGCTTTTTGATTTGTTTCTGTTTTTTTTTTCTTTTCATAAGCTACGAATCTAGTAAGTAATCATAATATGACCTCGTACTTAATACCTACTGTATTAATCATGTTTTTCTAGTTATCTTATTTTCCTTCAACTTATTCACCGTATACTTACTGTATTAAACATGTTTTTCTAATTATCTCGTTCTCCTTCAACTTACACGACTTTCCATAAGCAGAGCTCTCAAGTACAGTGTATACGAGCCATTATTAATTGCTAAATTTTGATGTTAACATTGCATATTTTTTCCGTCTCACAAAATTCAAATAGTCGCATAACTAACCAAAGCACGACAATTATTCGAAGAAATGTGACATTCAGCTGACAAATTTCATATCATTACGATTCTCTACTAGACTCTAACTCAGCCGCTAGAATTCACCAGTTTGTTAATCAATTTATGCCCACCAGTATTAACTCACCAATTTAAGTTCAACATAGCACAATTCATCCCCGCGAACCTACACCATTTATTACAACTGAAAAGGGGGACATCGATCTTCCTCCCGATCAATGAGCATACCTATCCTATTCATTAAGAAACCGTCTGCCTTTATATAGACCGTGTTCCTCGATAATGTCACCGATCGAAAACCAGCCTTGTAACCTTTCGGTCCTTGTGTGTAAAGCGACACCAAGAATAGTTTCACGAAGATAAGAATAAAACGAAACAATTCTAGTCGCGAACAAAAAACAAAAATACAGTTAATATACTAGTTAACAAAGCCTCGGATAACATTTTCGCTAAGGAAAAAGTTGTTTCAAATCAATTCAGGAACCCCCTATTTCCGGGAGTCGAAGCTATTTTGGGACACCCTGTATATCGTATCGGTGTAGTACCCTTGTTTAATAACACCAGTTGTGTGCCAATAGCACACGTGCAAAAGAGGAGGCTCTTTGCGTCATCGGAGCAAATCACGCGGACGATCGTGATCGTGCCCCGCTAAACAAGATAAGTTCCACGGTTTTACGAAGATTCGTGACAATGTCGTTTTATCAGGAATCGAAAGGCCGAACCACGCGCGCGAGATTTAGCCGCCTGAGATTTGATGATTTGACGTTTTACGCAGGTTCCAATTAAAAGAAAAGTGCGCACGAGCGTGTTGGATCGAAAAACTACCGATCCCCCGGTTGAAATCATAAACGTATAATACATAGAATACTTAACAAATATTAGAAAAAGGTAGCATGCTTTAGGTCACCATTCTACCTTCGTTTGACATTCATACCTTTGAAATGAAAATTCCCTCTACTTCTCTGTTTATTTCTTTTTTATTATCGTACTTAATAAAACTTCTTTGTCAAGAACAAAATGGTGGCCATTTAAAGAACATAATCTACCAAACTAATGACAAATAATTTCTAAAAAGTATATTTATTGTTTATGAAAGCATAAATGTGAATTTTTAATACATATTCGGGGAACAACTTGTTAGTTTTTCTCTTTTTTTTTTTTTGCGAAACGTGTTCACGCGTCACTCACGCTGATTGCACATCGTTTATTTTACGCGAAACAATCGGCGCCGGCAAACATTAGTTTAGACATCCGCTGACGACGAAACACACTTGGCGCCGTTGACGTTCGTTTTTCGTAATATTTCCGCACGACCGACTGTATTTTTAAATTGTTTCCGGCGGCGACACACCGTGTGGATGCAAGGTGTTCGGTCGGTTCCGCGCGATCGAACGATCGATCTTGTCGACCGACATCGTTCGGTATTTCGATGAAATTTATGAGTAACGGTCGCTGTTGGATCGAATTTTACTGTCGAAAAACGCCCGAACAGGATTGAATACTATCGGTTAATGCTCTATTGATCCTATTCTACATTAATATACCCGAGCATAAATTACCGTTCGTTGTTTTGTATGGGAATCGATTCGTCTGGAATCAATATACATTAATTTTGATTATTTAAACGGTATCGTGAGAGTCGAATTTCCATAGATTTCACCGTGTTACCGTTCCAGCGAAATGAAAATAGGGCGCTCGATTTCCGGGAACCCGTAAATGCGCTGTGAAATTCAGCTAGAAGCTCTGTATACGATGCGATTAATCATCGATGACGTGACGGAAACTATATTCGACTTTCCTTGAATGAATATTTTCGACTTCCACCGGAAGCCGGAACTAAAATGTTGCCAGCACCTCGAGAATCGTAGGTCGTAACACGCATGTTTAACGAGCCTAGCATTCCTTTTGATTCATAATTATAATATTAGTAGATGGTTCCTAGGAAATTACGTTGATCGGCACAAATAAAACCTCATTCAGAATCAGTGAGGATATATTAGGCCTGTTCGAACGTTTTCAGACATTTCCATTGACATTTATTCATCGGTTACTGTCATGTCACACACGTGTGACCGATATATCTCCCGACCTGAAGCTAAAAAATATTATTACGGGGAAATATACTGAATGATGTAGAGTTGCTTAAGGTTCAGGGGCTTTGAGAAGGTCGAAAAGGTAATTTGAATGCTGGCCCGAGATGGAACGTCTTAACGAGATGATGGAGAATTCATACGCAGAAGACATTGACGAGTTGCCAGAAGATGAATTAAATTCGTACAGAATGGAAGCCACTACTCTCCAGACTGAAATTTTCGGTGTACCAATCGATAATTCACTATTGTTCGCTTAAACGTGAAGCCATCATTTTCTTGCGAATTCCTTGACATCTACAGTTTTCAGAATTACTTTACTGTTACTAGTTTCTCAGAAACAAAAGGAATTCTGTACCAATTGCAAATATACATTGACTCTAAGATGTTGAATATTAACACCTGCAGAATGGTATTTCACTTGGATTCGAAAAAACGAATACTGTTCGTATTTATGAATCCCATATTGAAGTCATCAGTGATGACTCATCGCCACGAGTCTAACTGGATGTTATAAGCCAAGGGGTTAAAACCTCAACAACTATATCATCCCAATAATAGCTCTTTGTATTGTGGGATTTAATGAGGAGATGTTAAGTTTGATGTGAATATAATTTAATTAAACACAACACTTTTACAACGATTTGATTATAATAACACAGCACGACAACTCAGAGTAACAACTCGGAATGAATAATTGAAGAATAACGAACAAGAAGAATAAAGACGGCGAATTTACTCGTCTGTACAATCAACAACTGCAATCTTACCACAAATCGAATAAATGACAGAAAAGTGACCTAACTGCTGGAAGTGACTCGAAGTTGTTATTTCGGATCGAAGGATCGAGGTATCGATGAAAATGCTTCATTTTAAATTTCTCGTTTAGATCGTGGCCGGAAACAATTGCCCGTTTAATCGCGGATCCCATTAAAACTGTAATTTCGACAATGTGTTGAAGCTAATCTCCAATCGCAGCCAGAAATTGAGCCACGAATGCGTTACGTGCTCGAATCGTGTCCATGATTTCGCGACCGTGGCCTCGATTAAAATGGATTCAAGGCGGTCCCTCCGGCGAAATAAACCGACTCCGAGGGCACACGCTCCTTTACGTCGAAATCGAGAATTAGGCACGCCTTGATTCGCAAGAAAAAGAGTTATCGAACGGTTTCCCTCGAATCCGTCTATTTTCTCGTCTACGGTCGAACGAAATTTCTTCTAAAGCTGACATTCAATGAACGTAATCGCCCGTGATTGGTCCCACGCGATAGGAATACTTCATCGCTTTCGAGTGGTAATTGTTTCTCATAGTAAGGTAAACGCACCAATGGATGAACACTTAACAGATTTCGTAACTATTCAAGCCGAATTTTAAATTATATTAATAGTAATACATATTTCGCACATGAAACATTAAATTTTTTAATATCTACATATTTCTTATAACATATAGATTTCAATTT